GTGGAGAGAGGCACTGTGAGAGTAAAGTGTCTTGTCCAAGTACACAACACAATGTCCCCGGCCAGGGCTTGAACCCGGATCGCTCGATCCGGAGACGAGCGCACTGACCATGAGGCCACCGTGCCTCGTCCCTCTCATGGACACGCTATTAATTTTTCTTGTATGAAAACGTTTTTCACTTTTTATGTTCTGAGTATTTTGGAATTAATCAAGCTCAAAACTGAAGGATAAACAATAAAGAAAACAGAAAAACTCACCGAAAAGTTACAAAACTGATATCAAAATTCTCGTACAACTCGGCCCGGGGCGCTAACTTAAATCATTACGGAGGAAGAGCTCTTGACATTCGAAATAATCAACAATTCCACTGACAGGTGGAAACGGCGCAGCCGGATGTAATCGATAAAAGAAAATAAAACAAGGAAAAAAAATAGATGAAGACACACAGGCAAAACAAAATTATTCGGGTCACAAATGACAAGAGGCCACTTACGGCTCGATATGTGTATTGTTTTAATTTCCAATGTAAACGTCTACTTATTTATTCACTCATTTATTTAAAAACTGTTAGCTAGAGATTCAGACTGAATTCGTAATCTACTGCAGTTTTGATTCAATGACATGGTATAAATCCGTTTTATGAACCATTTGAGCGAGGGCGATGCTTAAAATGTATTCTCCTTTCGAAGCAGACTGACTAGGCTCTCTGTAGAGTGACATATCACGTTAAGGAACGACTGCCCCCGTTGGGACACAACGCGTAGCTCTTCTACAAACAAATAGGTTCCGTATTGATCTTCGAATGGCATCGTTTCTTCCACAGTTTATCAAGGGATTTATTAATCCATTAAAAGTAATAAGCACCATAATAAAAGGCCTGAAGGGAGCTAACCCTCTATAACCCATTGTAGTTAGTACAATCGGACATGCTAAAGCCGGTAGGAATGTAGTCCCCAGCGCCAATAGAATGAACCCGATTGTCCAAGCAAGCTTCTTTTCTCTCTTCAAGGCAGCGAGCGATTGCATTTCCTTTTGGAACATATGCTTGTTGTGCCTTCTGTTGGACACGAAGATGCCAGCATAACAGGTAATGATTATGATCAAGCAAAGAAGGTAGAATATGACTCCCACGATGTGTGCAAGAAATCTTTTTTCTGGTAATAGTCGAGATGAAACGAAAACCAAGATAACCAGGGTGAGACTTGCTGACCAGCTGACAATGGCTTCTTTCAACGCACGTGACTTGGTCATGTGAGCCCGATACCACCGTGGCCTTCGCACTGCACGATATCGGTCTCTGCTAATGGCGGCCAGGTTACTCATAGTTGCAAAGAGGCACAGCATAGAGGTATAGGTGTATTCTTCCCTTTTCGTTGGACACAGATATATGTCTGTGGCTTTTCGCATGCCTCTGGAGAAGCCCACTACCGCCCACAACAAGTCGCTAATGGCCAAGCTGCACAGGAGCTTAAGGGAGGGATGCTGGCGAGTCTTCATTCGCGCAACAGCAACAAGAAGAAGCAAATTACTAAGGAAGGATAGCGACGCCATTAACAAGTGGAGGGGAAGGATGACAGAGTTTGTGATGTTTCTTAACTTCTCCTGGAGCTCAACGGATTTGCCAGGAACAAGACAAGCCAAATAAGGTAAAGGGCTGGTTTCACTGAATGTGGTGTTTGGTGAAAACGCCATCAGCTAGGAAAAGTAATTATCACATGAATTAAAAGATCTTGATTATGAGGTGATAAATAACTATTTTCATCAGGGCGGGAAGGCTGACTCATTATTGCTAATTAATGCGTACAAGCAAACTCGTATCCTCACCCTGGCACCGGGCGGGGAACGGATGGACGCCCCTTAGTTTTCATTTTGATAACATGTATCAAAAATATTTTGCTCAGCAGATGGGCCTAAGCTTTTTTGTTTGTTATGACGTCACATGTAGTAGATAAAACCGCTATCTTGGATCCGTTAATTTAAATCTTACTATTTTCTCAGAGACTCAGAAAACAACGCAATCAATTGCAAATAAATGAAAACTTACTTCAAAATGATACCGGTTGAACGAGGAAGGAGTATGTACCTTTATCGAGTGCTCTGCCTCCAAATTCAAAAGCATGAAATTTCTCTTGGAACGGCTACCAAAAATGATTTAATTTCGGGAAATATTGCGACGTGTGGACCTTGCATTGGGTCAATTACAATTTTGTTTTAGCTTTTAGTTTTATTTTTGCAGATCGCGATTTGCCTGGACAAATCAACGGCGACATTTTTACAGTCATGTCCTCAGCTAGTGGAACCCTTTATTGACCAACCTAGTGTGAAAGGGTCTATCTAACCGTTGTAATGAGACTTATGAGACAGGCGAGTTTAATGTCGGTTTGAAATTGATTCACACTCTTTTTATAAGAGGCTCGATTATTTTTTGTGAGCTTTTTCCTCTTCGCAGATTTAAAGTTATTCACCTTGGAATTAAACTTTACAATTCCAGTTAGTGGTGTCGATGAAAAACCAAAGGATATTGTTATCAGCAGCTTTATATTTTTAAGATTCGGCCACTGTTTCTGACGACTGTAAAGTGCTGCTAATATCGACTTTAATCTTGAGAGATGTAAGACATTTGTCCTAAATTTGTTGGCCGGGGCTTTGAATAATTCCGTGACTTTCTTCAAATTCTGATAGTACACTTTTTATAAGAATTTTCTTATAAGAATATTCTTATTTTTCTACCGATTTTGGCCTGAAAATATTGTTGTGAATATTCTGTGTTATAGCATATAAAATATCTGTCAGTGTTTTCGAATGTGTCTGAATGGTGTTAAAGTGTAATTTTGGAGCCAGCTCGCAGGCATAAAAGCCTGATATTACACACATAGACTCTTGTAGAAATGTTGTTTGCATCGAACATACGGCCAGCCAGCGCTGTTTTTGTTGCTTTTTGGCTAGTTTTGCCGGTCTAGTTAAAAACACACAATTGTATTGTATTTACAAACTTTCAACACACAAAAATTTTATTCTTTTCAATATCTCAGCCTCGGGTTTATTCTCAAAATATTCTTAAAATTTCGCAAATTTTAGCCCCGATATTTTTATGAAAGATATTCTTATGAAAAAAAAAGGAGTGTGGCTTTTCACTTTATTCGCCACGGTTGACATCTTGGCGCCCACCGTCTGTCCTATTCAGCTAACTTCAGTTTTACATGAACTTTTTGGTTGTATTTCCTGATACGCAATGAAGTAAACGTTAATTTGAAAATTTGACGAGTTATTTTCTGAGCTATCATTTATTTACCTCGCCAGGCCAAGTAATAATTATAGTTATCATAATATTAATAATTTGGCCAACACGCGTTTATTGAATAAGAATTCTCAGTTACATGTAACACGGACTTTATGAGTCTTCAGTTTTGAGTAAAACATTCACTGCCTTCTAGTTTGCTCCAGATGATGTTGGTTTAAAGAAAGTTAAGAAACCCTGAATCATGTAAATAAACTGTGAATTTTGAATGAAAATACATAAAAAGTTATACAACCTTTTTCCAAGCGAGGGTAAAGATCCCTTCCACTGGTTCAAAGCATAAGGTGAAATGAGAAGAAACAAAAATTATTCTGGTCTACATACTGACCTGTTAATTGAGCGGTTTCAATTGAATGTCGAAGGTAATCAGTAATTACTTCTGTGTTGGTTGAATAATCTCTGAGATTGGTTGAAAAATTTACCCCTGCACTCATTACAATCAATGAGCTACATGGAGTAAGTAGATGCTAAACAAAACCCACTCGAGACCAGCTGACGCGCGCTATGTGTGCTTACCTAAAATTCTCATCGATCCATTATGTTCCAAATGTTGACTGTCAATTTGCCGCCCTTTCTACTTAATCTTACTTTTGTCAGCTTCTCAGTAGTCCGGAATCCCGAATCCTTGAATCTGATTGGCTAATCGCGCGCGCACCGGCAGTCTGGATTTTCCCATCCAGACCCCGAGTACGGACCGCTTCGAAATTTCCAACTTTGCCAGAAATTTCAAGTGACATTTGAGTGGCATTTTACAGTTCAACGATTTCAACCTTAATTTGATATCTTTTGTAGGTCTAAAGCAGCAAATAAAGCCATGTTCGATTTTTCGTCGGTGAATGTGTGTCGCTTTGATTTAAAGCTCATATACTCAACTTTATTTCGAGCAGTGCGCTTCTTTTTCATTGACCTCAATTTCTGTCACATAACGGACATATGAGGCCAAGACTAACTTTATTAAACGCAATATTTCCCAGCTCAGTGGCACATATAAAATCATCCCTACAAATTGCGCGAACAGTATTGCTTTTTTTGGCCGAAATGTCAAACCCACGCGTACGCCAGATTTGAACTGTACGGCCTTAATTACAATTCAGTTGCAACACAAAAGTTGCTTTCAAAGCAACACGCACCGTGGAGAAAAACCTGAACAAGTAATTTGCTAGCTCTGGTTGGTCTGTATTGGCGGTTCCCTTCGATTTCCTTCACAGAAGATCAACAATCAAACACTTAATTTTTTTCCCCACCCGATTTTTCCACGATTTTATTTTTGCTCCCACCAGACTTACTTCTGACAATAAGCCACTCACTTTCCCTTCGGCTGTTCGGAGGGGAATACGGTCTTTCGTTTTATAAGAATATGTTTTATGAGGAGGTCGAGGCTGCAATTTACGAAATTTTAAGAATATATTTTAAGAATAAACCCGTGGCTGGGATTTTGAAAAGAACTGAATCTGATTTTCTGTCAATGTCTGTAAAAATCCGTCAATACAATACAATTATACGTTTTTAACTAAACCGTATAAAATTCTTCCTTTCTCTCAACGGCAAAACTGCCAAAAGAACAACGAAAACAGCACTAGCCGTAAGTTCGATGCTAATAACGTGTGCAAGAAGTTATGTGCGTAATATTAGGTTCTAATGCCTTCAGGCTGGCTCCAAAGTTACTTTAACACCATCCAGACACCAAATACATTTGAAAACAGATATTTCATACGCTAGAATCTAAAAGTATTCACAAGAATATTTTCAGCGTAAAATCGGCAGAAAAATAAAAATATTCAGCTTGGGCCCTAAAAACAATTATCTTATAAAAAAAATGAAAAAAGAGTGTAGTACAATACAATACAATACAAATTTTATTACTTACTTTGTTAATCACCAAAAATGTGATTATTTTATCAAAGGCAATAACTGTTTTGATCGACCCTTCAAGCTTAACTGTGAGTAAAAACCTAATCAGGCAAGTAATAAAACTTTCTCGAAAAGGACACATGCGGTGATAAACGCTTTCTCCCGGTGAGCGGGACCGTAAGCGAACTCGATATGCAGGCCTCTGCACTTTTCATAATGGAACGCTATATTCAGAAAAAAGAAATTAATTTACTAGGAATAAATTTATAATCGTCACGTACAATTATTAAGCTTTCGGAAAATATAAACTTTCTGCGGTTTTAGTCAAACAGCTAGCGATCGGAGGGGAGCGGGGGCGCCATAGCGGATTGGTCGTTTTTGGGTTAACTGACACGGAACCTTATCACGGACATTATTACCTCTTATGTGGATTTGGAATCCCTTCAAAATAATCCAGATTCTCTTGGAAAATGTGATGAACACGAAATCGGAAGAATTTTACTAAGGAAGCTAAAGAGATACGCTGGAAAATTAAAATCGAATTTTTTTTCTAAACGAATTTTGGTGGATGGAGGTGGTTTGTTTGCTCTACAATATTTAACAAAACCAGTTCTACGATCAACAACTTAATTGAAATTTGTTTCAAATGAATGTAAACTATAACTTGAAATCTGCAAAAGGCGCAGAAGTACTTGAACATTAACGTTACGTTTAACTAATTTTGGAAAAAGTCGTCAGTACTGTACAGCTGAAAATAAGTAGTTTGCTCACCAGAAATCAGCAACTTTGACCAAATAAATTACAAGAATGGCTTCTGAAGAGAGTGCTTGAACCTTTCAGGAATAATCTACGACTAGCGCCAATTTATTAGTAAACTCTTTTTAAAGCAAACGTTAATTTGAAAATTTGCTAAATCATTTTCGGAGTTTTCATCTATTCACCTGGCCAAAACAAGTAATTACTGAAGTAACCATTATAATAATTTAGCCAACTCACGTTCATAAGAATTGTTAAAACGCATTTACGGAGACTTAAGTTATGAGTAAAACATTCATTGCTGTCTAGTTTGCCTCAGACGATTTTGTTTTAAAGAAGCCCTGAACCTTGAGTATAAACTATGAATTGTAAAGGAAAATATGCAAAAAAAGTTATACAACTGACCTTACAGATCCCTCTCACTCATACGGAGGGAAGAAGAGAAATACAATTCTCTTTTTTTTTTTGTTTTCGCATTCTGCTCTATCACTTTACCGGTTTCAATTGAATTTCGAAAGTAATCAGTAATTGCTAAAACCTTACGCCGACGCTTATTGCAATCATTTGGCTATATAGATAGGCCTTTCCATAAACAAATGTCTTCCGTATCACTAAAAGCGCTAAAGCAGCAATTTTCCAAAATGGCGGTGGTACTCCATTGAAGCGTCCGAATCTTCCTCCCAAACTCCAACTACTGAAACAAACGTTTAAAAATTTTGGCCTAAGTGATTCACGATCGGTTTATTTATTTATTTATCTATTTTTAGAAAAAATGGTAGTTATTGAGAGGGTTTTTCGAGATATTTAGAACAATTTCTTTGATATTTT